GTACAATTTAAAGTTTGAACGATACTATTGACTCATATTTACATCCTTCTCAGCTGATTCATATACTTTGCTACTCTCTTTACTCAAAAAAGGCTTGACGCATTTGGGCAATACAATGTTATTTAAATCAATACAATTGCTTATTATTTGAAATAAGCTGAAGAAATGACTTAAATAAGCGTCCTTAGATATGACGACAAAGATGGTGTGGCTTTTTGTTTAGTCGCAGTCTATTTTAGCTGCATAATGTTGGCTTGACCTCATTTTCATAAGTTGGTCTATGCAACAGGGAGACCTTGTGGAACGTGCCTAGTCCTGCGTCCTCGGAAATAATTTTCATGATTTACAGCATCGGACCATTGACTTGGTACATTCCCACGTTTTTCCGGCATCGTCAGTGGGAGGTGCCATCGTCCGAACAGTTGCAACTTATCTAAGTGACGAGTGAAGGCAATCTTCTTGACCATTTTTTTGTTAAGCCGTTGTAAGAATGCTTTCGGGATTAGTATTTATATGCTTTTAGACTATATTTTTCAAAGAACCATTATTACCTTTATAACCTAAGAACCAAAATCTGACCTACCAGTGAGGAAGTTTTAAAAACATTTTATTATCTCGTATCCATATAAATGGTAATCTAAGAGGAAGAACATTTTGCACTATTGTAAAGACGAGTATGAAGTTCTCCATCAAATCAATGCCAGCAAAAAGTAGAACTAGCAACAGCATGATTGGGTTTAATATTTTGTTAATTTATCTGCCACATTAATATCGCTTTACCATGCGGCTTCCAAATGTCTTTATTTTGATCCCGAAAGGATTTTAGCTCTCTATTCGCCTTTACCAAAATATATCTTCTATGCTAATCGACACATTAAAAATACTCAAGTTAATCATTCTTGCGTTCAATTCCTAGACTGCTTGAAACATTTTTGAGGCTAGGGGCTTTCACGATATTGGAATATGATTATAAACTCACTTTTTATGGCTTATTTAGTAAAAACTGCCTGCTTTCGTTTTTAACTTGTTTCTATGTTTAACTCCTCTAGAGTTCTGTTATATTTTTTTATTTTCCGTCATTTATTTTGCCTTCATCAGCTGTGTTTCGTCGATGCGCTGTGGAAAATAGTGAGGTAATGAAATCTATTTGTCCAATAAGAGAAATTGTAATCACCGGAATATTATTGGAGTAAGTGGGCAATGATATCTTCAATTATATTATTCTTGCCTTTCACAATTTCTTAGAACGAAACTAGATTATTCTTACTGTTGTATCGACTTTCCTTTGTTTATTTTTATTTTGCAAGGCAGATGCCGATTTTGATTGTTTTAACTTTCTTTTGATTCTTTTCAAAAAATCGAATTCGAATGATATGAGACTATCTGAAATTCTTTATACCATTAATATATTATTTAGAGATGCTCAACTTTTATACTCTCTATTGAAATCGAGTCGTCTTGGATCTTCTTTCGTCCGCTCTAATTCTTCCTATGATTTTCGGATTCACGTCTCGAAAAGGCAATCTCTTAAAAGGCGCCAAGACAGAGCTCCTCTAATTTCCGAACAAACTCCTGATACAAACCGTTGGCGCATCACAAAGCGAGTGTGTACATTTTATTTTTCGATTTTGCTAACAATTATGGCTGATACTTTTTATTATTTGACTTTGGGTATATCCAGTCATTTTACAATCTATGCTAGCTCAAAAGATGGGCGTTCATTCGGTGCTGGGTTATCATTTTATAATTAT